CACTTTAATTAGATAAATTCAGTTTAGTAGTGATCATTAATGGTGATGATCTGAGGATTCTAGCTTAGAAATGAGAATTTTGGGAGGGGGCAAGGGGAATCAGAATCTTGAGGAAGAAAGCTCTGAAGGAAAGCAAGAGTGTTGAGGTGGTTCTTCTGGGACAATCAGTGGAGAAGTAATCATGTTTTTAATGGTAGTAAATCTGACTTATACTGTTCTGAGCTCTTTTCCTTGATTAAAGCATCAGAAATATCTCATAATGAATGGAGACTTCTCCTAGCTTGAAGATTCAAGGTTTGATTGATTAGGAAAGAAGGTTGAAGGATTTGGTATTAAAATAGGATGTGATTACAACTCTCTTAGTAAACAAGGAATTATTAAATCTGCAAATAAATACAATGCACAGCAAAGCTGTCCAAATATTTCATTATGCATGCATATGATCACATAATCTGACATTAAAATCAGTTTTTACTCATGTTTTGTCTTCAGAATGGTCTAATTTCACTTTTGTCTGTTGTCAGTACAACTGTTCCTGACATTTTGACCTGTATAATTGTGTTCTTTTTCACAGAAAGTATCACTTAAGACTGAGTTAATTCTGTAAAATTGGTATTTCTGGGCGTGATGAGCACAGGATTGTTCTGCTTTTGGGAGTCAGTATTTGAAAAACTGTTAAACTAGGCAATTACCAGAACTATAGGTGAAATTCTTGATGGTGCGTCAACTCCTCCTTGGTACAGTAGTGTGGATGATGTTCTGGGAACTCAGGAAGTGTATTTAGTGTTTAAAAAAGAAAATTGTCTTTCTAAAGTACTCAGCACTAGATAAGCTTTCATTTTAGGGATTACAAATACCAAGTCTTTAAATATTGAACTGTTGGGATTCCCCTCACCCCCTCATTGTCTTGCTTGTTTGTTTTGATTTTGTGTTCTTTGTGAGTTTCTCTCATAATACACTTAGAAGCATGCTTCTTAAAACTGCTGACAATATAGTTGGCTTTCTAGCTGAAATGGAGTTCAGCAGTGCTGATAAATACAGTCTGCCAAGTCAATTTTATCTCTACTCACTATGAAAAATTATATGAACTGCCAAATGGAAAATACAAATATTTGCTACAAAGCACATTTTGTTCTTGTTGTTGCTAAATATGAGTGCAACTGAAAAAGAATGTAAAATTTTATATAAACAGCTCAGCTTCCTTACTAGGGCTGAATAGGTGTTTAAGATGCTATTGGGAGTCTGCCAAGTCAATTTTATCTCTACTCACTATGAAAAATTATATGAACTGCCAAATGGAAAATACAAATATTTGCTACAAAGCACATTTTGTTCTTGTTGTTGCTAAATATGAGTGCAACTGAAAAAGAATGTAAAATTTTATATAAACAGCTCAGCTTCCTTACTAGGGCTGAATAGGTGTTTAAGATGCTATTGGGAGCTTTGTGTTATCAAGCAGTGCAGTTTTATCCAGTAAAAACACTGAGGGGGAAACATGAACTTCTGGGCCATAGAAAATTAAGAAATGGACAATAGTTTCTTACTCATGCCTGATGCTGACTGAAAGGATATCCGGGGCTGTTCTATGTAACTGTTGGGTTACTGAGCTTTAGACAGGCATCTTTCATAAGTTAAGAAAAGTTAAAAGATGGACTGGTGCTTTGAAAGGCCTGGACTCATGAGTGAGTTTCTTGGGCTTTTTGCCTGTCTTTGTGATTGTAGAACCAGTAAAGCATACTTTAAATGTCCTTGAGGAGAGACTGCTGGAATACTGGACTCTTACCATGCTTTTGTGCATTTCTCTGCCCTCTTAGACTGTATGAATGAAGTTTATTGTGCTAATTCCATGTTTTGAATCATTGCTTCAGTGCTGAGCTTGAAGTTTCTAAGCTTCCTTACAGCAACAATGTTATCAGCAGGCCAAAAAAAGTTCAGTACCACTGTCATCCTGTAAAAACCTTTCATGAGCTGATCTTGGATTATGCTTTTCCTTGAATATGTCCTGCCAACTGTTATCTATGTGATTGATGTATTGGTTGAGGATGAAAAGTAGATAAAAATATCTGTCTTCAGGTTCATTTTTGTCTTTTAGTAAGCTGTCTTTTGTCCTCTAGATGGATGTATAAAAATGAAATCCTAGCAGTTTCTTCAGTTATTAAGGATTGTGACACTATAACAATAGTGGGAGGACTGCAAATCATAGTGTTTGAGTGAAAATAGGGTTCTTAAGGTACAAATCTGCTTCTCTGAATACTTCTTATCGTTTCTTCCAGATGTTAGTATTGTATGCTTCAGATTTCTGCATTTCTTGCATTTCAGGGATGAATACACACAATGCATTTTATTCCCTATATATTTTGATCATATACTTCACAGGTATTTGTAAGAGGTTTGAGTCATACATATATAAGTGCTTTCAATATTTAGATTTATTGTTCTGTTTATAGAGATTGTGCTTTCTTTGCCACTTGTACTCGTATTTTCTAGAATGGGAATACGTGTTGCCCATCTATGTTCTTCCTAACTTCCTGTGTTTTATGTTTTCCCTAATACATTCACATTAGTGTTTTTCCTATTTTTAATTTTTTTTAAAAAGCAGGGAAGGTATTTTTTCATTTGGGGGGAGGAGACTTCTTCAATATCCATGTGACAGATTATATGACTTTTGTAGTAGCACTGAAACTGGAAGTGCTTTTCCCTTGAAACATTGGAACAAACAGCCAAAAATATAAATTATTTTTAAGAAGTGTTATTGTGTACATATTTTTGTTATTGTCTACATATTTTTACATATTATAAGTTTAAAAATAATTCTTGCATCACAATATATACAAGCTTTCTTGATTGGTATTACGGAAATAATGTAAACTGCCTCATGTCTTTGAGAAGAGGAATGTTTGCTAAATTAATAACAAATCTGATTTTCAGTTCCTGAAAGAACAGCCCTTCACTGTTGGTGTCTGGGAAATAGGCTTCTTAGCAGATATAACTTGTTGGATACTGGTTGTTTTTAGAAGATGATAGACATGAATAATCTTTGACAGTTATGTATGATTATTCTCTCATTTGAAATGTTTGAGGAGCTAGATACAAGCCAGAGTTCCAGTTCCTTTATTTTTCTCTTAACTGTGGTGAAACACAAAGCTGTACAGTGTTTCTAATGGTCACCCGGTAATTTATAAACTTCATTTAGAAATCCTGTTTAAGTGATCTGAATGCTCAGTTTTCCTTTAGAAGTTACATAAATTCTTTTTAAAAATAAAAGATTATAGAAGTAGTTCAGCTGTGCAAGCATTATGTTCATTTTCCAAATAAGTTGAATTCTACAATGTGACCTCTCACTGAGCAGTTGAAAACTTTGTGTTGATATTCAGCTAAGCTTTTCATCTGCTTTCACAGATGTGCAATTCTTTCTGAAGGGGATTCTGTCTTCTCCTTTTAAAGACATGTTTTTTTCTAAGTGAATTTGTTGATGTGTAAACAGAGGAGAGAAATCAAGAAATACCGTAAAGGAAAAATCATTGGCTATATCAATCAGACCTACCAGCCACTGAAGGAAGGGAAACAGGTGTGCTAAATCCTAAGTAGGGAGACACGAACCAGGCACTAGGGTTACATGGTAGAGAGAAAGAAATTGAGTATCAAAAAATCGTGTGGGAGTGAGAAAGAACAGGTAACAAAAAGATATGAATTAAGGACAGGGACAGAACGTTTGATGGACAAAATATAAAACGAGAGGCAAAAGGAAATTCTAAAATATGGGCATTTAAGAGAAGAAGGTCATGCATGGTTTTCTGATCTTAACTCTGCAATTTGTTACATGCTTTTTCCATAGTTATAAAAAAGGTAGTGCTTTTCTCCAAACTGTCGCTGTCAAGATACAGTTATAGTCTTCAAAAGCCCAACAAAACCAATCCCCAACCCCCAAAGAGCCAAATTCAAAAGAGAAAACCAAAACCAGCCAACCAAAAAAAAGAAAAAAGACCCACACAAAAATCCCCAAACCAAAACAACAACAACAACACAAGAAAGCGTAATACTTCTGGTGATGTTCCTTTTCCTGGTATTTTTGAAGCAAACTGTTCATTTTCTTTGTGCCAAGTTGCTGCAGAATTAGTTCAGTCTCGCAGAGGGAAAATGCTGATTGTGTGCACCTGGGTTTTACTGCTTGCAAACAATGAAGGAGTTTCACCACGTGTTCCTGTATCCTTGTACTGAGGTTATTTTTGGTATGTGAATTTGACATGATACAAAACCTTTAGTAAAGGGGAACATTGTGTGTAAAGGTGATTATTGCTTTCTTCTTTTCTGCCCCCTTCCTACACAGATCTCTTGAGGAAGCTGTATGTAGTTCAGGATTGTTTTCCAAAGACTCTGTTGCAAATCCATCACTCTTTGGCCATTATATGACTACAGGACTATCCTTTGCTAGAGATTCATGAAATATTTCCATTTTTCAGTGAAAATGCTGTGTGATAATGATATTATAATGAGATTTAGAGTTATAATTTTTATTCTTACAGGCTGATTCAGACTTGCGGATTCATTCTGCTGGTTGAATGTGATAGTTAATATGTAGGTACTGTGAGACATTTATAGTTGTCTCAGAAACAAACATCTAAATTTAAACTTATGTAAATTTTTGTCTGGCATAGCACAGTCTGTTTTAATCTTACGAGTTTCCTTTGTAAATCCTAAAATAGCTCTTGATGGATGTTTCCCCAAGTGTGCTTTAGCTCCACCAAGCAAAAGAAAATGTTTTAAACAGTTGCAATACTTATGTAAATGCCC